TCTCTCTCTCACACACACACACACACACACAAGCATTTCAACTATTTATTTAGTAAAATGTGTTAAAAGATATTCATGATACATTTTTGAGTTAATAAATTAACCTATATGATCCTGAAAGCAGGCGGTGGTAAAGAATCTAGTCAAATTCTTTGATTGCTACATTCTGGAAGTTAAAAAGCTTTCAAATTTTTTCATAAAACACTTTGAAAAAAATTTAATTAAACATTAAAACTCCCTTTGCTCTTGCCTAATGCTCAAATAAATCCAATTAAATTGATCAGTGTCCTGACTAGGAAAGGCTCCAAAGGAAGTGTCCAAATGTTCACAGCTGTGAACTTTCATCTTTTGTAAAGAAACCAAAGAGAAATTGGAAAGGGCCAGGTTTTTTCCCAATAGTACTTTAAAATAAAAACACTGTTGGGAAAGTTGCCTATATTCCACTTAACCTAACACAAATGACCAAATCCATAGCTTGTCTTGGCTGCCTCAAAAATGTTCTATCTGATAGATATTTACAGATTCTTCAAATATGTGAGAGTGTTTCAAAAAGTTCATGAAAAAATAGAATTAAAAGATATGTTTATTCTGGTGTGAAAAAATTCTATATCCATACATGATTTTTTCATAACAAATTTTCTATGAATGTTTTAAAGACTAATCATATATTATATATGCATTGAAAGGCTACCACAAAACACACCAACCACCTAAGTTTGGGAAAAGTTTTATTGTCCCAGGCGGAGGGGGTTGGTGAGGAACCCTACAGGCTGCCTCCTGTGCACTAGAGAACAGCAGCCTATACTAGGAGGACAGGCCATTATAGCTTAGCAGAAATAAGGAAGCAAGCACAGTACATTCCATTCGGTGGGGTGAAGGCAACACATATGGTTGGGCCATTTGCTCACCTTATTTCTGGCAAACCAGGCGGGGCTTAAGAAACTGAAACTTATTTCAAAGGATGGAAACTGAGCCAGTGCCCAAGATGGTAACTGAGGCTTAAGTTGGCACCGCAGATAAGATGGTACCATTTCATTAACATGCATAGCATACACTAGTATATATGTACAATATATACTGTATGTATATATGCATATACACTATACTGAAATAAATAGACTTGTATGCATATCTGTATCTTCATTTGAAAAAATAAAAGGTAGGAAACAAAATGTGTGCTCACTAGAGGATGATTAGGAAAATAAGTTATGGTATTTCCAAACAACTGAACACATTGTATAATATTTTTTAAGATAGCTTATCACTTACTAGTTTAGAACCAAATCCAAGATGAATTGTTAAAGAAAATAAGCAATATGCAGAACAGTTGTAGGCAGCTGTCTAGGAGATTTTCTCCCTAAGAAGACATAGCCGTGCTTCAACCTGCAGAGTATTTCTAAAAAATTTCAAGTGTTGTTAACTCCTGATGATTAAAATAGAAAGAAAACTTATTCTTGAATTTGAATATTTTGAATCATTTATGTTATTATCATACTTTGCAGCAGAGGACTGTTTAATTTTTTAAGATAGTTTGTCAGAGGCAGGCATTTAACCCAGAAGTTGAGACTCAAGTAAAAATGTTGCCCCTAAGATTGGAGTATCTGCGCTAGATACCTGGCTCCAGCTTCTGATTCCCACTTCTTACTAATGTGTTCCATGGGAGGCAGCAATAATGGTTCGAATGATTTGATTCTTGGCACTCACATGGGAGACCTGGATTGACTTCCTAGATCCCAGCTTCATATCCAGTCCCAGTCATTGCGAGCATTTGAGAGATGAACCAGCAAATGGGGGTGTGCTCTCTCTTTCTGTGTGTGTGTGTGTGTGAGAGAGAGGGAGAGAGAGAGAGAGAGAGACTTTCTGCCTCTCAAATAAATATTTTGATAATTATTTTGTTAATTACAACATAATACCAGAGTTTTGCAGGATTGGACATGTGAATTTCAGTTTCTCTCAGATTGCCCAGTACAGGAAACCATCATAAGCAAGAGAAAATGGAGTCATCGAAAATTCAAATGAGATATCTAGAATAAGAGCCCTAGAGTTTGGATAAACACATAATGTCTACCATAGCTTGCAAAAATGGTGTAAACTTCAATCCTGGAGCTGTGTTTCTTCTCTGCTTATATGCCACCTGCTGAGGATAAATGGGCCTTGGTTCCAGATATGAATGTGACAAATGTCTAATAATAGACACATACTCGTGACACACGAGTCACAGAAGGCTGACTTTATTGTTGTTGCGTTAGGGTGTAGAACAAGAAGCATGCATAATCTAGATTCATCCTAGTCAAACCTCTGTAGATATTGACAGAGACATTGCTAAGACGTTCTTGCACATAGGGGAAAGCATAAGATAATAACAACCAAAATGATGACCATCAGTAAGGAGTATAATTATGTACAGGGCACTGGACTGAGAGCTGTGTGTACATTATCTATTTTAATCCTGAGAGGTATCCTACATAGTAGGTACTTGATTAATGAGGAGACTGAGCATCATGGAAATAATTCAAGTTCACACCACGAGTATGCAGTAAAGTAAAACTGAAGTCCTATCTGCATACCTTCAAAATTTTAACAGCTTTCTTGTGATATCGTAGACATATTGCTATTGTGGCAGTTAGTCAGTTACGCTAATTATGAATGTAATCTAATCAATAAAATACTAGCAAACTAAATTCAACAGCAGATCAAAAGGATCATACACCATGACAAAGCGAGATTTATTCTTAGGACGCAGGGATGTTTCAACAAGTCAAATTAATCAATGCAATATACCCCATTAACATAATTAGAGAAAATTATGTGATCACCTTACTAGATGCAGAAAAAGCATTTGGCAAAATTCAAGATTTTTTCATTATATAAGATCTCAAAAAAATAGGCAGAGATGAACTTACCTTAATAGATTAACAAGTTGGACCTAGCATTGTAATCAATAAGTCTTAAGATCATCCTTCAAATTGTTATAAAAATTCTATGGTAATAAAAACAATATGCTAATGATTTAAAACAGAATTGAGGAAACCCCCCCAATCCACATATTTACATCAACCAATCTTCAAAAAGGGCACCAAGAACACACAATGAGGAAAGGGTAGTAATCTCCTCAAAACCTACTGACACAAAAGGATACCCACTGACACAAAAAGGAATTGGATCATATCTTATACCATGCATCAAAACTAACTCAATATGGATTAAAGACTTAAGCATGAAAACTGAAACTATGAAACTAATAGCAGAAAAGAGGGAAATCTCTCGTCATCAATCTTCTCAATAACCATTTAGGTATGAAACCAGAAGCCCAGACAATAAAGGCAAAAAGTAGATAAGTGGTTTTGAATCACACTCAAAAGCTTCTGCACAGTAAAGGAAACAATCAACAAAATGAACAGGCAATCTATAAAATCGGAGAAAATATTTATAAATAATATATCTGGTAAAGGATTGCTGATCAAAATATGTAAGATCTCATACAATCCAATACCAAAAATATAATTAATTCAATTAAAATGTGGAATAGATTCAAAGAATACTTCTCAAAAGACAATACTCAGATGACCAAGAGGCATTTGAAAAGGTGCCTGGTGTCTGTAATGATCAGATAAATGCAAATGAAAACCACTGTGAGATGTCATCTCATACCTGTCAGCATGGTTAGTATCAAACAGACAGAAGATGAGAATTCATGGCAAGATTGTGGATAAAGAGGAAGTCTTACATACCATTGATGGAAATGTGAATTAGAACTTTGGCTATGCATGGGGGTCTCTGTTGTGATTCCTTGTGAATTTTATGATTGTTCTATTTATGTGAAAAAATCCGGTTGGGATTTTGATAAGGGTAGTTTTGATTCTATAGCTCCCTTTTGGGTTATGGTCATTTTGATAATATTATTGCTTCTATATTATGAGCATGGGAGGCATTCCATTTATTTTCTGTTTAACTTTTTTCTATCAATGTTTTATGATTCTTAATGTTTCTTTGTTTCATTCCTAAGTGTTTTTGCTATTTCTGCTAATATAAGTAGAGTATGTTCTTAATTTCCCTTTCAGTGAGTTTGTTTTGGTATATAGAAACACTACTTATTTTTGCATGTTGTAACTTGATTGTATACATTTATTATTTCTAATTTTTCATATGCAATCTTTGGAGTTTTCTATGTATATGATGATGCCATCTGCAGATGAGATAACTTTACTTCTTCCTTTCTGATTTGGAATGCCTTTTTTTTTCATTCTTGATTTCTCTGGCTGGAACATTCCATAAAAAAGTGAGAAAAGTGGGCATCTTTGACTTGTTCCAGACCTTAGAGAAGTTTTCAATTTTTCTGCATCTATTGATATGACCATCTGGTTTTATTTTGCTAATAATTGTGTATTACGTTGATGGATTTGCACATGACATTGATCCCAAAAAGGTTAGGTTGTATAATCCTTCTAATGTGTTTTTGAGTCAGTTTGCTAGTATTTTTATTGAGGATTCTCTCATCCATATTCACCAGGGCTTTTGGCCTGTAGTTTTCTTTACTTGTAGTGCCTTTGTCTAGTTTTGGAATCAGGGTGATGCTGATCTCATAAAATGAATGTGACAATTTTGTGTCTTATAGTTTTTGGAAGAATGTAAGAGGAGTCGATACTTGGTCTTCCTTGAATAACTGGTAGAATTGATTCATGGAACAATATGATTCTGGCCTTTCCTTTGTTAGAAAGTTTTTGATTATTGAATTAATCTTTGTTACTTAGTGGTATGGCCTGCATCCCTATTTCTTCTTGGTACATTTTAGTAAGTTGTGTATGTCTAGGAACTTATCCACTTCCATATGTATTTTCATGTTATTAATTTATTAGCATATTACATAATAGTCCCTTGTGATCTCAAAACATTTTTGAGCCCTTGTTTCTGCAATCTGGTAAATATATGTGGGGCTGGGAAGTCTAGAAATAAAATGTCACAAATTTTATGATGTATTTTTATCTCTCTTACTCTGATAGGATCACAACCACAGCTGCATGTATGATGGATCTCCGAAGATACCCTCTAGATGAACAAAACTGCACCCTGGAGATTGAAAGTTGTGAGTTACTTGGACAGGGATATGAGAAGGAGGGATGTTTGCGTGATCCATTTAAATTCAACCATTCACTAATTTCGCTGGTACTAAGGTATTCTTAACACAACCTTAACAGCTTTCCAAGGGGCTCATAGTTTAGGGAAATTTTCATTTGCTTTGGTGGCTCAAGGTCAGTTAAATAAAATTATATTTATAAAAATAATGGAAAAATCACTTATACTGCTCAACAATTTATAAACTCTCTTCCTTCGTGTGATCTTCCAGCTAAGTCTTTCCTTTTATATTTATTTGCATGCATTTCTTAAATATAACTAGGAACATAGTAATTCTTCCCACCATACCTGCCCTCCTATCCATACTCCTATCCCTCTTCTCTTCCCTCTCCTGTTCCCAGTCTTGTTTTTTACTAAGATCTATTTTCATTTAACTTTATACACAGAAAATTAAGTCTATTCTAGGTAAAGATTTCAGCACATTGTATGAGGAAGAAAAAGAAAGAAAACAAATTATTTGTAGACACTGGTCTTATTTATGTAATCCTTTTGACACTTAATCCTATGTTTTTGATCAATTATGAACTTAAACTGATCACTTTAACAAGTAAGATGGCATTGGTACATGCCACCTTGATGGGATTGAATTGGAATCCCCTGGCACACTTCTAGTTCTACCATTAGGGTTAAGTCTGAGTAAGCATGTACCTAACTGTACATCTTTTCCCTGTCTTATTCCCACTCTTATATTTAACAGGGATCATTTTTCAGTTAAATTTAAATGACTAAGAATAATTGTGTGGTAATTAAAGAGTTCAACCAATGGTATTAAGTAGAACAAAAAAACACTAAAAAAATAAAATAGTAAGTTGTTCCTAGACAGTCAGGACAAAGGGTGATCAAGTGATTATTTCTCATAGTATCTATTTCACTTCAACAGGTTTCCTTTTAAGTGCTCAGTTAGTTGTCACCAATCAGGGAGAACATATATTTGTTCCTTTGGGACTGGCTTAATTCACTCAGCATGATGTTTTTCAGATTCCTCCATTTTGTTGCAAATGACCGGCTTTCATTTTTTTTGACTGCTGTATAGTATTCTACAGAATACATACCCCATAATTTCTGTATCCAGTCTACTGTTGATGGGCATTTAGGATGATTCCATGTCTTAGCTATTGTGAATTGAGCTGCAATAAACATTGAGGTGCATACAGCTCTTTCATTTGCCATTTTAATTTCCTTTGGTTAAATTCCAAGGAGTGGGATGGCTGGGTTGAATGGTAGGGTTATATTCAGGTGTCTGAGGAATCTCCAGACTGACTTCCATAGTTTGCATTCCCACCAACCTTGGGTTAGTGTCCCTTTTTCCCCACATCCTGGCCAGCATCTATTGTTGGTAGATTTCTAAATGTGAGCCATTCTAACCGGGATGAGGTGAAACCTCATTGTGCTTTTGATTTGCATTTCCCTGATTGCTAGTGATCCTGAACATTTTTTCATGTGTCTGTTGGCCATTTGGATTTCCTCTTTTGAAAAATGTCTATTGAGGTCCTTGGCCCATCTCTTAAGTGGGTTGTTTGTTTTGATGTTGTGGAGTTTCTTGATCTTTTTGTAGATTCTGGTTATTAAACATTTATTGGTTGCATAGTTTGCAAATATTTTTTTTTCCATTCTGTCGGTTGCCTCTTCACTTTCCTGACTATATCTTTTGAAGTACAGAAACTTCTCAATTTGATGTAATCCCAAATGTTAATTTTGGCTTTGACTGCCTGTGCCTCTGGGGTATTTTCCAAGAAGTCTTTGCCAGTACCTATATCTTGCAGGGTTTCTTCAATGCTCTCTAATAATTTGATGGTGTTGGGTCGTAGATTTAAGTCTTTAATCCATGTTGAGTGAATTTTTGTGTAAGGTGAAAGGTAGGGGTCTTGCTTCATGCTTCTGCACGTGGAAATCCAGTTTTCCCAGCACTATTTATTGAATAGACTGTCCTTGTTCCAGGGACTGTTTTTGGATCCTTGGTCAAATATAAGTTGGCTGTAGAAGTTTGGATTGATTTCTGGTGTTTCTATTCTGTTCCATTGGCCTATCCATCTGTTTCTATACCAGTACCATGCTGTTTTGATTACAACTGCCCTGTAGTTTGCGCTGAAATCTGGTATTGTGATGCCTCCGTCTTTGTTTTTGTTGTACAAGATTGCTTTAGCTATTCGAGGTCTCTTGTATCTCCATATGAATTTCAGCATCATTTTTTTCAGATCTGAGAAGAAGGTCTTCGGTATCTTGATTGGTATTGCATTGAATGTATAAAGTGCTTTTGGGAGAATGGACATTTTGATGATATTGATTCTTCCAATCCATGAGCATGGAAGATTTTTCCATTTTTTTTGGTATCCTCTTCTATTTCTTTCTTTAAGGTTTTGTAATTTTCATCGTAGAGATCTTTAACGTCCTTGGTTAAGTTTATTCCAAGGTATTTGTTTGTTTTTGTAGCTATTGTGAATGGGATTGATCTTAGAAGTTCTTCCTCAGCCGTGGCATTGCCTGTGTATACAAAGGCTGTTGATTTTTGTGCATTGATTTTATATCCTGCTACTTTGCCAAACTATTCTGTGAGTTCCAATAGTCTCTTACTAGAGTTCTTTGGATCCCTAAATAAAGAATCATATCATCTGCAAAGAGGGATAGTTTGAGTTCTTCCTTCCCAATTTGTATCCCTTTCATTTCTTTTTCTTGCCTAATAGCTCTGGCTAGAACTTCCAGAGTTATATTGAATAGCAGTGGTGAGAGTGGGCATCCCTGTCTGGTACCAGATCTCAGTGGAAATGCTTCCAACTTTTCCCCATTCAATAGGATGTTGGCTGTGGGTTTTTCATAAATTGCTTTGATTGTATTGAGCAATGTTCCTTCCATAACCAGTTTGCTTAGAGTTTTCATCATGACAGGGTGTTATATTTTATAAAATGCTTTCTCTGCATCAATTGAGATAATCATGTGGTTTTTCTTCTGCAGTCTGTTAATGTGGTGTATCACGTTGATTGATTTGCGCACATTAAACCATCCCTGCATACCAGGGATAAATCCCACTTGGTCTGGGTGGATGATCTTTCTGATGTGTTGTTGCATTCTATTGGCCAGAATTTTACTGAGGATTTTTGCATCTATGTTCATCAGGGATATTGGTCTGTAATTCTCTTTCAATGCTGCATCATTTTCCGGCTTAGGAATTAAGGTGATGCTGGCTTCATAGAAAGAATTTGGGAGGACTCCCTCTTTTTTGATTGTTCTGAATAGTTTGAGAAGAATTGGAGTTAGTTCTTCTTTAAATGTCTGGTAGAATTCAGCGGTGAATCCATCTGGTCCTGGGCTTCTCTTTGTTGGGAGGGCCTTTATTACTGTTTCAATTTCTGTCTCAGTCATGGGTCTGTTTAGGTTTTCTATGTCTTCATGGTTCAATTTAGGTAGGTTGCATGTGTCCAGGAATCTATCCATTTCTGATAGGTTTCCCTGTTTGCTGGCATACAAGTCCTTGTAGTAATTTCTGATGATTCTTTTTATTTCTGTGGTGTCTGTTGTTACGTTTCCTTTTTCATCTCTGATTTTATTGATTTGGGTCTTTTCTTTTTTTATTTAGTTGGGTCAATGGGGTGTCAATTTTGTTTATTTTTTCAAAAAACCAGCTCCTCCTTTGGCTGATTTTTTGTAATTTTTTTTATTCAATCCTGTTGATTTATTCTCTGATTTTAATCATTTCTCTTCTCCTACTAGATTTGGGTCTGGTTTGCTGCAGATTTTCTAGATCCTTGAGATACATTGAGAGCTCATCTATTTGGTGCCTTTCCAATTTCTTGATGTAGGCACCTATTGATATAAACTTTCCTCTTAACACTGCTTTTGTTGTATCCCATAAGTTTTGGTATGTTGTGTTGTTATCCTCATTTACTTCCAGAAAGTTTCTGATTTCTCTTTTAATTTCTTCTATGACCCATTATTCATTCAGGAGCATGTTGTTCAGTCTCCATGTGTTTGCATATGCTCTAGGGATTCCTGAGTTGCTAATTTCCAACTTCATTCCTTTATGGTCTGAGAAGCTGCATCACATGATTCTAATTCTTTTGAATTTGCCGAGGCTTGCTTTTTGGCCTAGTATGTGGTCAATCCTAGAGAATGTTCTGTGTACTGCTGATAAGAATGTAAATGCTTTATGTGTAGGATGAAAAGTTCTGTAGATATCTGTTAGATCCATTTGGGCTACAGTGTCGTTTAAATCTACTGTCTCCTTGTTGATCTTCTGTCCTGTTGATCTGTCTATTTCTGAGAGTGGAGTATTGAAGTCCCCCAGTACTATTGTATTGGGGTCCAAGTCTCCCTTTAAGTCCTTTAACAAATCTTTTAAATAAACCAGTGCCCTTTAATTAGGTGCATATACATTTATAATGGTTACATCTTCCCGTTGAATTGATCCCTGAATCATTATATAGTGCCCCTCTTTGTTTCTCTTAAGAGTTTTTGTGGTAAAGTTTATGTTGTCCTCTATTAAGATGGCTACGCCCGCTCTTTTTTCATTTCTGTTGGCATGGTATATCTTTTTCCAGCCTTTCACTTTCAGTCTGTATGGATCTTTGTTGGTTAGATGTGTTTCTTGTAAGCAGCAAATAGATGGGTTTTGTTCCTTAACCCAATCAGCCAATCGGTGTCTTCTAACTGGACAGTTCAGGCCATTAATGTTCAATGTGACTATTGATAAGTGGTAACTTTGCCCTGCCATTTGCCAAAGATATTTTCTAATATATGTTTTGAACTTCCTGTGATCTTTTGCTGGGAGGTTTCCTTCCTTTACCTTCTTTCATATTGATGACCGTGTTTCTGTGTTTCTGTGTGTAACACATCTTTAAGCATCTTTTGCAGGGCTGGACAAGTGGCAACAAATTCTTTCAATTTCTGTTTGCTGTGAAAGGTCTTTATTTCACCTTCGTTCACAAATGATAGCTTTGCAGGATATAATATTCTGGG